TGAGGCCGGTGCCGTGCCGCCGAAAGGTAGCATCTATCGGATGAGCGAGGAGGAGCTTGAGGTCCTCCGCACACAACTCGACGATTTGTTGGCTAAGGGCTGGATCCGCCCTAGTATCTCCCCATATGGAGCACCAGTTCTCTTCGTCTGGAAGAAGAATAAGGATCTACGATTGTGTATTGACTACCGCAAGCGCAATGCGCAAACCGTCAAGAATGCGGGGCCTCTCCCTCGCATCGTCGATCTTCTTGAGCGACTGGGCGGCGCAAAGTATTTTTCTAAGTTGGATTTGAAATCGGGATATCATCAAATCTCGATCTGGCCAAACGATCGCTACAAGTCCGCGTTCATGACGCGGTGCGGGCAGTTTGAGTGGGTGGTCATGCCTTTTGGCCTCACCAACGCCCCGACGACCTTTCAAGCGGCAATGACCAATAAGTTTCGTGCAATGTTGGACTGGTTCGTGCTGGTCTACTTGAACGGTATTCTCGTCAATAGTTGGTCATTGGAGGATCATATGGGATATCTTCAATGAGTGTTGGACACGCTCTGCCGCGCCAAGTACAAGGCCAACCGCGACAAGTGCGAATTTGTCCGGCAGGAGCTGGAATACTTGGGCCATTTTGTCACACCGGAGGGCATCAGTCCGCGATCGGACAAGATCCAAGCCATCCAGGAGTGGTCGGAGCCTCGGAACGTCACGGATGTCCGTTCGTTCTTTGGCCCTGCCGGCTACTACCAACGTTTTATTAAAGGCTACTCGAAGATCACGGCCCACTTGAACAAGCTTCAATACGAGGATCGACCGTTTGACTTCGGAGAGGAGGCGCGAAAATCATTCTTTGCTCTCAAAGCCGCGCTATTATCTGCGGAGGTCTTGCGGATATACGACCCGCTTTTGCCTACGCGCGTCACTACGGATGTGTCAGGCTATGGCATTGGTGCAGTCCTCGAGCAACATGATGGTGTGGACTGGCACCCGGTCGAGTATTTCAGCAAGAAAGTGCCCATCGTGCATTCCATTGACAATGCTCGCAAGAAGGAGCTACACGCCTTCGTCCACGCGCTCAAGCGGTGGCGGAACTTCCTCCTTGGTCGAAGCCAATTTTGATGGGTAACGAACAACAATCCGTTGATCTTTTACAAGACCCAATACACCGTCAACAGCACCATCGCTCGATGGATGGCTTTCATCGACCAGTTTGACTTCTTTATCGATCACATTCCGGGGAACAGCTTTGCGGATGATCTTTCACAGCGTCCAGATCATTGTAGCGCGGTCTACTCAACCTTCGAGATCGACGATGACCTGCGGAACAGCTTCATCCGCGGCTACCAAGCCGACCTTGAGTTTCGCGACAAGTACGCGAATTGCTCCTCTCCTAATCCGGCGCCTTCTCACTACCGGATCCAAGAGGGGTACTTGCTTGTCCACACGTGGGGGAAGGACCTTCTTTGTGTACCAAGTGATCTTGACTTGCGTACACGGCTTCTTGGCGAGTTCCACGATGCCCCCGCCACCGGACACTTTGGAGTCAATCGCACGATTGGCCGACTTCGCGAGCGATTTTGGTGGCCCGGCCTCCTTGGCGATGTCACGCGCTATTGCGAGTCATGCGAGGTTTGCCGACGCTGCAAATCCCGCAACCATCGTCCGTACGACAAGTTACGACCATTACCGGTCCGGTTGAGGCGAATGGAAGCGATTGCCATGGACATTACCTGCTCGTTCCCTAAGCACAAGACCGGAGTGGATGGGATTCTCACGGTGGTCGACCGACTCACCAAGTTCGCCATGTTTTTGCCTTGTCGCTATCATGCCAAGGCACCGGAGTTGGTCGAGGTTCTCTACGCTGGTTGGATTCGAACCAAGGGTTACCCCAAGGAAATCGTCTGCGACCGCGACACTCGGTTCATGTCCGATTTTTGGTTGGCGCTCATCAAGCGATGGGGCTCATCTCTCAAGCCCAGTTCAGCTCGCCACCCTCAGACCGATGGCCAGACGGAGAGGGCGTATTAGACCGCACAGGTTCTCCTTCGCACTCTCATCCGCCCCGACTAGGACTGGGTTGAGCGGCTACCAGATGTGGAGTTGGCCTACAACTCCTGTATCCACCCGGCTATCGGAATGTTGCCCTTTGAGTTTGAGCACGGCTCGCGGGTCACTTCACCATTGGACACTATTACTCCACGAATGACTGAGAGCGATGACCATCTTCTTTTCTTGCGTCGGATGCAAGAGCTTCTTGTCAAGGCACGCGATCAGATGGCTAAGACGCAGCAACGCATGAGCCAGCAGGCCAATCGCCAGCGTCTTCCTTGCCCATTCCGCGCAGGGGACCTCGTTTGGGTTTCCGCAGCGGAATTCAGCCTTGAACAAGACATCTCTCGCAAGCTCCTCCCGAAATGGATGGGGCCTTGGCCGATCGTAGCACCCGCTGGAGATGCACCCGAGGGACCTTCCTTCATGATTCAGGTGCCTGGCCTCTTGCCCGTCTACCCAGTCTTTCATTGCTCCAAATTGGCTCTTTACACACTAGCGGAACATGACGATTTTCCCGGAAGACGTTTGCAAGACCCACCCTCCATGGATGGTTTTCAGGAGGTTGGCGACATCATCTCCCAGGGACGCTACGGCAACAGGCCCACCGAGTATTTAGTGCATTTTGCCTACTGCACACACCGAGCTGACCGTTGGTTGACCCGTGCGGAACTTCAAGCAACAGCTCCAGACGTTCTCGCACGCTACGAATGTAAGATGCAAGGCAAACCGGTTTCTTCGGCTCCACGCCGCGCCCGCGTCCAGGTTCCACCTTCAGATCGTCGGCTTCGCCCTCGCCCCGGCTTGACTTCATAAGGAGGGGGGGTGTTACATGCTGCACCTGCACACGAGGGCCATTTTCCAGGCCCTGCGTCCCTCAGGCTGAAAGCCTGAAATTCAGGCTTAAAGCCTGAAAACCAGGGCCTACAGGCCCCGTGGCTGTTCAGCCCGAAAGCCTGAAAACAGGGGCCTACAGTCCCTGTGTCGTTTCAGACTAAAAATGGCAACAGCCTTTTTAGCCTGAAACGAAGGGCCATTTTCGGTCGTTCATCAGAATGACCGGCCCTGAAACTCAGGCACCGAACCAGGGTTTCGGGAACAGGCTATTCTTAGCCTGTTCCCCACACCAGCCTCACCAGCTGCTGCAGCCAGCCCCTGGCACACTTCGGCATTGGCAAGAGCAGCCTCCTCGGCCTGGCTCGCTCTTCAGGCAGTCAGGAGGCAGGCCGAGGTAGTACATTGGGACTTCCCATGCACTTCACGGGCAGGCAGGAGGTAGTAGTCTTCAGGATTCGGCCACAACACTCTGGAGGGAGCGCTGCAGGGAGTAGTAGTAGCGTTAGCCTTTAGTCTTCAGCGCCGCGCGCAGTAGGTAGCTGTAGTCTCCAGCGCTGGGCGCCATAGCTAGGATAGCACTAGAGAGAGAGAGAGATTGGGCGGAGGCCATGGGTACCTACCTGCAGCGCCGTTGCTCCAGCTTCGTCTTCGAGGTACCTGCAGCACAGTGCCAACATCACAGGTGAGTATCTGGCTCGTAACAGAGAGAGAGAGTTGTTCTTCTTCCTCTTCTCAGTCCACCATCTCCCTCTCACCCTCTCATCATCTGACTTCACTGCATCTGCAGACTACGAGAGAAGAGAGAAGAGCTTGGTGACTTTGGACCCAGACTCGACTTTTGGACTTCAGACATTGCAATGAGGGATTTTTTGGGACTCATGACAAAGACTTGGTGTTGACGACATTCCCATCTCTCTCCCTCCTTTCGTCTGATCCCCTCCTCTTCGTCTGTGAATGTCTGGACCTGGCGCTTCCTGTGCACAGCGCCAGGCTCCTTCACACCTTGTGATGGATACGATGTATGTTTGGTCTGCATTCAAACATTGATTGGGCTAGTCATTAGCATTCTAGCTTTC